GTTAGCCAAAGTGGCCTTGTTAAGAGTTATTCTACACTTGAAAGAAAGGACCCTGCCCTTCCACTTGGCTAGCTTCTTGTTAAACTTCACCAAAACCTTGTTCCAAAAATGTTTTCTAATTCTGGGAAGTCTAAGATAGTTAGCTGGGAAGTTATCAGTCCGACAACCAAGGTTATCAACAAGTAGATTGATTTTGGAGTTCTCCATCTTAACTTCCAATATCTTAATTTTGGTCATATTAACATTCATCCTTGTGGAAATTTCAAAGGTTCTAAAAAAAATCCAGACGTTCAATTGGATTGGGGCAGTACCACATAAGATTAAGGTGTTGTCAGCATACAATAGGTGGGAAATAGTAGGGTGGATAGCTGAAGTTCTAAAACCCATATGCGAACTAAGGTTTACAATCTAGAGATGGATCTAGAAAGAGTTCCCCAATGAAGGTGAACAAGAAGGGAGGTTGGGGTCAGCTTGTCTTAGCCCACTATATCAACGCCTTTGTATCATAGCATACATGTGTGCGAAATAATGATAGCCATTCGTTTCCAGAGCTTCAATCTGGGCCATTACTGATGTGTGTGTATCTTGTTTCAATTTATAATATTTCAAATTTCAAGTATGCGTTGCAACATTATTTTTTTTTTTTACTCTCCCTTGGCCAGCCCCTTGCCAAACATGCTGGTCCCAAGGTGAAGTACAGTGATGTATGTTCTTTGCATATGACATAATTTTGATCGATGAGACTAACAGCGGTGTCAACACATAGTTAAAACTTTGGAGGGATACTCTAGACTCTAGAGGTTTCAAAATTAGCCGCACTAAGACATAATATATAGAATGTAAGTTTAGAACATAGAATAATCGGGAACCAAGGCAAGAGAAAATGAGTATGACCATTCCCCGGGACTAAGAATCTGTCAATTTTGGATATTAACAAATTAGAGGTACTCCCATTAGTCCAAGTAAAGACCATGCTAGAAATTGGCAGATAAACCAGAGCATGAGACTCAATAAGGCTGTATAAACAGACGCATGGCAGCATTAATAGGACTACTCGATAAACACTCCTCAGACCATCTGATGAAATTAAAGTCACCCCTAAGCAAATCGGATAGTTAAAATTGAAAATGAATTCTGACATCTGAGTAACAAATCCTTCTTTATCAGCAAAAGACTGTTGCCCATATACATTCATCTGCCCCCAATGAAAACTAGGGTTGGCCCCACAAACCCAACAACCAAAAAAAATTCTTTTTTCACAGAACAAAAAGGAAGCAAAATAGTAGGTTCCCACAGAATCCATAATCCCCCAGAAGCTCCTATTGAATCTACACCCATAAAATCAATTGAACAATGGCCCCAAACTTCCCTGACATCAGCCAGACTAAGACTTGGAAGTTTGGTTTACTATAAAATAAGGACTGAAGGTTTAAACTTACACACCAAAAAATGGACGTCCTTCTTACATTTGAGATCGCACAAACCTTTTACATTCCATGATATAAAAAACATTAAAAATGATTAGAGGAGGAGGAACCTGGGCCGTCCTTGAACAAGCTGAAGAAGACTTCCTCTAACATCATTGCTTCATCCATAGCCTCACCCATCAGACATTCGAATCCAAAGAGGACTCTCCCAAGCTGACTTCATTAGGCTTATCATATAAAATGCGGATACCATGAGCAGTAGCAACAGAAGACATAATGCCTCTCACCCTCAGCCTTGCAGAGGATCTCATACCAACCCTCAATTTTCCTTTGGCCTGACTCTTGACCCCATCTTTGATAAGGATTTTCCTAATATCACCAGAGGTCACCTGAGAAACACTTCATTTTCCTTCCTTTTATGCCTTCTTCTTTTCAATAACCTCTTGAAAGATCACTCCAATAGGGACATAAAAGCCCATGCCACTAGTGGCCACCCTGTGCTCTTCCTGATTCTCTAGCTCTCCATCCCCAGAAAAAATCATATTCTTTACCCGGCCTCTTCCAAAATTGCCCTCCCCTTGTTCATCCCTCGAAGCTAGTCCCCTAGGGTTGTCAGAAATAAATTAGAGCATCAGAGGCCCAACCTCTTGGTGGATCACAGAAAGAGGGGGAGAGACTTCCAATTCAACCAGAGCTAAGCCTTGCTCTTTGACATCCACCTCAGCAGCTACACTATCTTTCCTCAAACGCTTCCAGTGCAAGCGGTACATATTCCTTTTCCTCAAGTTCAGAGTGCTCGATACCCTCTTTATGACCACAATGGCTAAAGGATCAATCGCCAACAGGTCAAACGAGGGCCTTGGAACGGAGCAGCTCTTCCTCGCAGCGCGTCGATGCAGTAGGGGATACATCTTGCTCCAAGAATCGATCAACCGTTGGTACATAATGGTCGATAACCACATGTTATCAGTTATAACCAAGATTAATTTGAGCCATAAGAGACCCAAGAAGCATCCACCATCCACCGCCTTCAAACCGCTAGCAGTAGGGGATGACGAAGGCGGAGGCTTTTCCACTTCTGTACACTCCAACGTGAGCAACGGGGCACCCACCACATCTACCTTACACCTCATAATGATGGGCTTCGAGAATTGTGTCGCAAATCCCATTGACTGGGATACGCCACCATTTTATCGGGATTACTCATATCACAGGACTGAAGAAACAGTGATCCCTCCTTATCACTCAAGCTCCGTAGACCCCCATTATCACAACTGCCGTTCAACGGAAAGCTCGAAGAAGTCACCAGTTTATTCGTGAAACTTTCCACAGGAATCCAACGTTTTGAAACTTTCAAATTTTGAAAACCAATCTGCCCAACCTATTGAACCCTAAACTGGTTACGCAACCATTTCTTAGAATTCTAGCGAGCATTGTTCGTACTCACCATTCTAAAATTATCTTGATCCTTCAAAACCTGATTAGTAGAATGGCGATGAAAAACCATCTACCAACCATCATTAAGTTGATGTTTATCCAATAAGGTTTTTGTAGAAGGCGGAGCTTTGTTGACATTCTCGACTTCACAAGAAACATTAATAGAAAATGACTCTTTACCCACTTGTAGTCTCACCACTTTGGGAATGGTGGCCCCACACCACTTTCAAATACGTATTCTCGAGCTTCTGAGATCCCCTCTACTAAAAGATTCCTTATCACCATCGCATAATTCCCTACAGCAATTCGCCACCCTTTTTAATATTATCCAAAGACCAGACATGAAAAGGAAATCCATACAATTTGATCTAAAGACCTTCCTTGCTCACATGAACCATGTGACGATGGTTTCCAGAAATCAAGAGACATAAGCTTCCCTCGAATCCTAACGAAACGATGCAACAAAGCCACCAAAGCATCCTCCTTAGTGTGAAGAAAGAAAACAATCTTATTTTCTTCCATTATCTTAACCAACAGAGCATACGATAAACCCCATTCCCTTTTAGCCCAATCACCGAGGCCAAAAATATAATTAGAAGGAGTGGAAAAGGAACCAATAATAGGGAAACTTGCCCTATAAAGTAAACCTCCCGATAAGTCATACCTCACCACGACCTCTGGAACTGCAACACCACCATCGTACCATGCCCAACCAACTCTCCTTGCTCCCTTGACTCTCTTGTGTCACCTTGCACTCCGAGATCACCCATTGTTAAATAAAAAATTGATAAAGTTTCTATTAAGCCTCATCTCAAATCTTCGTCCGGAAAGCGCTTTCAGCAACAAAAATCTCCATGATGGCTTTAAAATCAATTTTCAACACTGACAATAAATTTTGAAGCTAAAAAAACATATAGATCATGTGGATCCATGAACATTTATTTTTAGGATGAAATGGATGGTTTGGATAATTTGTTACAATTTACGCTATTTTTAAAACTTGAAATCGTAATTTTTCTTCACAATCATAATGTTCAAGCCAAGATGATCAATGTAAAAGTTTTCCAACGCTAAATTATAATTTTCGATAAGTTATGAGGTGAGACTTTACTTATTTGATAGAGTTGCAGCCCCATCAAACCATTTTTCATTAAAAAAAAATTGAAAAACATGAATAAAATATAAAATAAAAATAAATAAATTATAGGAATTGGGTGATCCCCCATTCTACAACAAAATCTTTTGGTTTAAAATAGAAGATTTATGGGAGCCGACCCAATTCCTAAACGTTAAAAATTGGGTAAGTACTCATCAATTCCCGATTTGGATGAGGTGTCCATATCGGCATTTTTTTTAGCAATGGGAGTTATATGAGTTGGTTTGACACAAGGGGTTCATTTAATTTCAAAGCTCGATCTGCCTCATCATAAGGTCGTTATTGAAGAAGACTTGACAATGTTATTAGATGATGTTTAAATCCAAATATCATGTTGTAGAGGCTTAGTGTTTTAATGAATGAAATTCTCTTATTGCTGATGGGCCGTGACTTTTCTTTTCATCAACAAAGAAAAAGTCACGGCCGTGGGCCGTGGCCCGTGGGCCGTGACTTATTGATGACGGCTTTTATTTTCTGTTTGTCTTTCTTGTCTTTGTTTGTTGAGTAAGTCATTCATTATCTTAATGAAATTATTATCGTTTTTTCTTCATAAAAAAAAAATAATATATATTACTTTACTTTACTTTACTTTACTTACTTACTTACTACGTACGTACGTACGTACGTACGTACGTACGTACGTACCGTACCGTACCGTACGTACGTACGTACGTACGTACGTACGTACGTACGTACGTACG